CTTAATAGTTTGGGAATGGTATTCAATCATAGAGGATTTTACAGATGATTTAAAATAAACTGAATGAGAGGAGAAAAAAAGCTATCATTTATTTCCATGTACAGCACGTACTTTTCACAGGAGTTTCAAAACCCTAGCGTGTTGTAATGGAATAGCACATCTGAACTATTTGTTGTTACTCAGATAGTTAAGAAAGCACATTTACACAATCTCACAGTCAATTTCTTCCCCAAAATACGGTATGATCTACAATTACAAAAAATGACTGAGAACACATGCAAGGTTCAGACACAATTGTTTCATTTTTAAGGAGTTGACTGATATAATGTAGGAGATAGAAAGAACAGGTTCATGTCTACTGCATGACTAAAAAAACTCAGAATTACACAAAAGAAAATTTGGACAATTTATAGAAGTTAATGGAATTTTAATTTGATGTGTGTTCATGTGCAGAAGACATGAATGGATTTTAAAATGTATATTTTTTCTTGTGACAAGTAAGAAAGATAGTAAGACACTAAGAAATGACACTTAAAGTGCTCATTCATCCACCTTTAGTTTTCTCTTTTTGATGATCTAGAAAAACAGAGACAGGCTGAGACATTTAGGATGTGCAATAATTATTTTGAAAGACATATAGGTTTAGATCTTCTACAAATTTTGGTTCAGCGGTAATTGTTATTTTAAATTTAGTAATTAGTCTTCTTGTCTGGGAAGAAGTGAATGTACAATATCTCTCAATCAGATATGCTAGACAATCAGTGTGGCCAGTGACAAACAAGCTGGTGATTGCATCAGGAGTTGAAATCCAATGCATTTAGGGAATATCTGATTGGGAATGTTTGGCTCAGTGCATTGAAAACTCTCTACAAAAAATCATTGTCTATTTATTGTAATTTCTAGAAATCCAGTTGCTGATTATGTCAGCATAATTTTAATACAGACTGGCTTGCTTTTGGAGGGGGAATGCTTCATTTAAAAATAAATAAATAAGAAAATAGTATTTCCAAAATATTGTTTTGTTCGGCTAAACTGAGCGAAACGAAGAGTAGTAAAAAAAATTAGTTTGCCTGTTGGCAAATGACTGTTTTGTAATTTGTCACAACTATTATGGTTGTCATTGCCAAGAACAAAATCGCAACATTTAGTGTGCTCACAGGAAGAAGACAGTTGCTTAACTCTACATTCACAGTCATCTAACATAGATTAGAACTAAATTCTTTAATGAATGTTACTTAGTTTATTTTCTGGTTTTGCACAAAGCATTGAATAGTAATTAATAGTGAATTAATAAAACAAGCTGGACTGAAAAAGAAAGAAGTCCAACATAAAACAAATAAAGCTTAGTTTGTCATTCGGATGTATTTTAAATGTTGTACAAACTCAGCAGTGGTGTGTTGCTCTTACTATCATTACCTGTTTATTGATAGCGCGTGTTCCGTTCGTGCGCATGCCTGATTTGCACTATGCACGTGTGCACAATCTACTGCCCTGTTACAACCAGCTGATTGTCGGGGCTTGTGCAGGCCCTGCATGCTGTGCGTGTGCAATTTACCTTTTGCCATAAAAACAGGTGTAGAGCGCAGATGGGCGGGCCAAAAGAGTCATGGTACCAGCTTGTTCTCAGTTGCTCCGGACGACTACCAGTTCGGCCAAACCATGCTGAACTGGCAGCAACCCACCTCTGAAACTCAGCCGAAGTGTTAAAAAGCTAACCCTAACAATAAACATAAGCAGGAATCAATGTTTTTTCACATACGTATAGGAAAGATTTTGAAAACTAATGCATGTTCTGGCAGAAAAGAATCAATGTGGGGAATGGCTAAGATCTCAGGTCAGCCTCATGGATATGGAGGATCAAGTCTACCTTTGCCCTAGAAGCTCATTAGGAAACTTTGGACGAGTCCTTCTCCATCAGCCAAAGCACTGGCCTCCTGTTGGGAAGAAAACTAGAAGGACAGAGAGTGAGGTGTCCTTTCTTAAGCAATTATAAAAAGGATGGGATACACGTCTGAGAAAGCAACTAATATAAAGCCAAACTTGTGGATACCCAGCAAAACTCTTATGGATCTTTTGTCAGACATTGCAATGTTTTTCAATATGATGACTGTGATTCATACATTCTTCTTTCAAAATATTCCCAATCTAAGAACTTTAATCTAAGAACCACCTCCCCATAGTGTCATCCAATCAAATTCACTTTGTTTCAGGAAGCATTATTCATTGTATCTTATCTCACTTTGTACCAATTCACACTTCCCTCCATGCAGTTTCCCCATATTAACCTCCCTCTCTTTCTCACATCTACACATTTGCATGGTCTCTAATTATTTCTAGTGCATTCCTGAAAATAATAGAAAAAACAGGATAGGTAAATTATGGTTTGCCCATATGGTGATACTTATGTATAGGAAATGTATTAAGGCATGGGGCTTAAAGTACATGGTGTTTAGAAAAAGAATAAAAACAGAGTTTGTTCTGAAATAACAAAGAAACCAACACCACCCATGTATATAAATGCAGTGAGATACAAATAACAGGTGATGCATGCCTCATATGAACATTCCATATATGTATACCTTAATAATTAACCCTAGTTAAATCTTTGGGGAGGAAAAAGAAAAAATACTTTAGCTACTATATGTTTTGAGAGGTAAATCAATTCCATCTTACTTCAGAACAGATACACATCTGCACTGGTCTATTGGGATAACTTTGGGAGAGAAAGGGAAGGACCACAGCTAGGACAGCTGAACCTCCAGACATCTGATAAGGAATTCTCACTAGTTTCTTAAGACTACAAAGACAAAAGAGAGATATGCTTTCAGGTTTGCAATATTCTTTTAATATAACCTTATAATAAAGTGAATTTAGTCCATCTATTTTTGCTTCCTGTCTGGATTGTCTCAATAGGCTGGCATCAATCTTGCAAGTCTGGAAGTCCATTTCTCCCTATTTGTCTTTACAGCCCACAGAAATTACATAAGTTTCCACTTGAGATGTTTGTCAATACAACCACACACATTTGTTCATTTGTTTACTGGCTAAGATGCCACTGGTCCCACAGCTATTTGTGGCTCTTCCTCATTTTTCAAAGTCATTCCCACATACCATTTACAGAATCACTTTTTTGTGTTAGCTTTTCCTTCAAAATATATATTTCACAAAGTGTACCATTTAAAGAATCCTACATAATTTCACTCAAAAAGCTTTCTCTTGAGAAAAAAAAGTTACTCAAAATACTTTCCACATACACATAGGTGCCATTTTTACTTTATTTAAGGAAAAAAATGGGTGGGAAACAGTAATTTATAATACACAAAAAAAATTAGACATCACTGCAAAAAGGCTAGGTGTTTCCTTGTCACCAGTCTATTTTGCAGTTCTACAATTAGTAATTTTACTGCAATTTTGTCATTTGTATTATTGTTTAAGCATCTTCATAGGTGGCAATTCCTGGGGTTATTAAAAAAAACACAAAAATGTGTACTGCTATCACTATGAAAACCTAAACCCCACAAAATCACTTTGAAATAAACCATAAATATGTGATGCACATTAGTGTAACAAAACCATTTTTGTAAACATTTTCTCCAACATAACATGTGCATACGATAAAAAATAAAGTCACTGCATTCATACAGTTAGAATTACTTTGACATAGGATACAGAAATTATTACTTAAAGCTTAAACTAAACTAAGAGTACTCTTAATGCTTACCAACAGCACTGCTTTAAAAAGGATTTCAACATTTCGTATGTAGTGGTTTCATAACACTGATTTGACTTGTAAAATTAGCCACCATGGATTTGTTTTTCCATCTTCTTTTCATTCTGATGGACAGAGCTTCACCAGTATATTAATCTGGCAGAATTCTTCAAAATTACAACATTCTTCCATTTGTGAACAGTAGTCTCTTTTTAAATATTTACATACATATATCTGCATATATATATATGTATGAGTATGCATTGGGGGGAGGGTGTACACACCCATGCATACAAACATGGTGGCATGAGAGGAAAGGGCAATAATTAAATGAGTTTTAATCACATAATGTGATTCTAAACTTTTCCTCAGAGCCTCTGGCCCATAGGCTTTATTATCTTATGCTACAGTTCCAGTGCCAGAGAGGATCCTATTGCTGGTGGCAACACCAATCTCCTACATCCCGTTCATTTTCCACTATTTAATCTAGCATTGATTTTTTGACTGTTTGCTAAGAGGAATGAAGGGAAGTGAAAGTCACCTGTAATCTTGGGTCTGACATTCAGTGCTATCCAAATCCCAAACAATAAAGAAGACATGATTTTTGTTTTAAATCAAACCAGAAATTTGTTCTTATTTGTTGTATACAACATTACTTTTGGGGGAAGAAGAAAGCCTTCCCTTCAAAGAAATTGCTTAATAAAGAGATAGTTAGTTAAGGAAAAGAAACAGCACTTTTACTGATGACCTAAGTACTACTAACTCAGATCTAGGCTCCTTCAATTGGTGCTGTTTGACACAAAGCAAGTCATTTAGAATAATTAATTAGTTAGAACAATTAATCAGTGGAACAGCTTGCCTTCAGAAGTTGTCAATGCCCCAACACTGGAAGTCTTTAAGAAGATGTTGGATAGCCATTTGTCTGGAACGGTATAGGGTTTCCTGCCTAGGCAGGGGTTGGACTAGAAGACCTCCAAGGTCCCTTCCAACTCTGCTATTGTATTATTATTGTATTATTGTATTTGGTCTATGTTACTTGATCTGTCAAAGCCTCTTAACTGAAGAATCACACATAAGTCCCTAATTTTCATGCCATGAAACACTGGAATCCAATTCACTGATTAAAACAGTGAACTTAAGGCAACTGTCAACTAAATTACCCCAAATATCCTTTTCAAAAGTTCAAAAATTATAATTATTGTATCATGACACTGTGCATTATTACATCACCAACAGATAATTACACACTCAAGTCTTCTCAAGTAATAAACACATGTAGCCTTTCAAAGTATTAGTCTTGACAGATTTATTATAAAGGCCAAAAATCCTCTGGCTAAAACAAAATTTTGTGGAGCTTTTCCCCTTTAAAAACATGGGACAGGGGAAAGAAAAAGATCCAAGAATTTAGATTTTACACTGAAACACAAGTATATGCTGCTTTAAAAAAACTGAATAAGAAGAAATAACTACATTCTTATAGTTTTAGAGCACTGCATTTTTAGAACAGGAAAACATTCCAAATTTCTTACAAAAGTATTGAATTTGCCTAGTTTTTGTTACTTGTGTTTTACTAAATTTCTCATATTAAAGGTAAAACTTTCTGGATTTTAGGCTGAACTTCTTTAAGTTTCATTGGTAATGAAACTGTTAAAAATAAAATTAAAAGACTTCTTTCAAAATTAAAGAAAACCCAATTACTTAAGTCACTGAATTCCAGTTCTTAAATCTAATTTAATCATTACGAGTGGCTGCTGGTCTGATCTCCTAAAACCTAGTATGTAAGTAACAGTCAAAACTGTAATCTGATAGTTTTGGTATCACAATTAAGTGGATATTAGTACTGGTTCATCTAAAAAAATTATAAACCTAAACCACCTCTTTTATTGTATGCATTAGAAACAATGAGGTAGGCACAAAAATAAACATGTTTGGAATTTTCTTTCCCCATAGGCTGGTAGTAAAAGCTGTTGCACATTTTAGGTTTAAACAAAAATTAAACCTTTAACTGAGGCAGTGCTAACACTGAAATTACCAAGTTCTGGCCTAATGAAGAGTCATTGTAGAAAAGTGAACTATGCTGTTATTTTTTTCTTTAAAAAAACCCACTCACTGTGATTTTTAGGCAAAACTTGGTACACAGGAGAAGAAGGACTGAACTCTTGGCCAGGCCAAAACTTAAAAAGAAAACCACCCCACCTTCCCTCAACCACTATGCCTTTCACATTTTTATAAATATTAACTTTTAAAACCTGCATCTTTCTCTTTTTCCACATAGTCACATTACAAAAGAAAGAAAAAAGAAAGAAAAGAAAAAAGAAATGTCAATTAAATTACATTGTTAATATTACTATATTAAATTTGCCCCCTGCTTCAGTGACACAGAGTCCACCTATGTCACCCTCCTGCATCTTCTCCTGCCTGCCTCCTTCCAAAAACATTTTCCTGGTTAGTCTCTCTTCCTTTATTCATTAGGAGATCTGGAGCGGGAAAGGAGGAAAAGGAGAGACCTGATTCTTTCTCTAGTGGGATCCCAAATCAGATAGCACCTGATGGCCAAAAGCACCAGCTGCACCCTGCAGCCTCAGTTTAAAAATGAAAAGAACCCAACACCAGTGATGCTGGCACACGCCAATAGCATGTCTGGAATGCATCACGGCAGGTCTGTACTCCAGTTGCAAATGATTCCAAGTTATGAAGACTCCAAAGGACAGCAATTCCTTGCCAAACTAGAGAGCTTCTACCAGCTGAGAAGTGAAGTCCTGCCTAAAGTCATGAAATAAACTTGACTGCTTCCTCCAGACCGTACAGAGGCAAAGAAAACCTGTGAAACAAGAGATAAAGAGAAAACAAACTTATCAGACCATGGAGCAAAGGTGGGAAACCAACAGAAAACAATCATCATCAAAACAAACATCACAAGGCTGAATTCATTTACAGCTTTTTTACTCCTGTCATAATGCCTCATGTGATGTAAGGTAATGGTAAAGGTTCCCCTAATACATGTTTGCTAGTCATTCCCGACTCTAGGGGATGGTGCTCATCTCTGTTTCAAAGAAATGAGCACCACCCCTGAAGAGCCAGCGCTGTCCAAAAACGTGGCACGACAAAACCGTGCTCGTCAAAATAGCGGTGATAAAACTGCGTCGCTAAAGCCGCGACGTCATCACCACGCATCATCACCACCGCGACAACAGAAGGGCGCTTTAAAACAGCGCGGCGGCAGAAAGCCGATTTAAATTAAGGTAAGGGTTAGGATTAGGTTTAGGGGTTTGCTCTAGGTTAGGGTTAGGGTTAGGTTTAGGGTGCTGAGTGCTTCGGAAGGTGCGGATTTGCCCTCCGTGATTATGTCATCCCGGTAGGGTCACGTTTTTCCTTAGCGCTTCGAACGGCGCGGATTTGCCCTCCACACTTATGTCGGCGCGGATAAGGGCTTCGCGGTTTTGTGGTGGAACCGTCCAAAAACATCTCCATGATCATGTGGCCGGCATGGCTAAATGCCGAAGGTGCACAGAATGCTGTTTCCTTCCCACCAAAGGTGGTTCCCATTTTTCTACTTGCATTTTTACATGCTTTCCAACTGGTAGGTTGGCAGAAGCTGGGACAAGTAACGGGAGCTCACTCCATTACGCGGGATTAGGAATTCGAATCACCAAACTGCCAACCTTTCTGATCGACAAGCTCAGCATCTTAGCCACCGAACCACCGCGTCCCCGTAATGTACCGATACAAAAATTATGGTAATTTCAATCCTGACCTATCTGGAAGGGAGCAGGATGAAAAAAATCACTGTTCATTAATGGTGACACTCAATCCTCTGTGAAATATTAGTGTGCGGCAGAAAAACCATGGGGAAAGACATTTTACATGCTCTTTGATGTTAATTAAAGCTCTGCTGTTATTCCAGGAATCAAAAGTTCAGTGTGCATCAATAGCAGTGGCCCTCTAATCCTTTTGCCCACACTCAAATGTCAGAGGAATGTCATCATTCATTCTTCTCCACAGTAATTATAAAACTGCTAAACTGAGTATTAGAAGTAGAAAATATATCCATATATATCTTACCTTGTCATTACGTTCACATAGAAATTTGAGTCTTTGTGCTCTTTTGTGCATAAATACACCATCCAAATGTCCTGTTTCCACTGACCGTATTTCAATAGCTTTTTCTCCCCAGCCCATAATCTGATTAGATCGAATGTAGGCTTTAAGATAAAGAAAAAAGCCACTACTAAATATAATAATAAACAATAATCCCCATCTTGGGCATTCTACATCCTGTTAATTTTTCATACAAAACAAAAATTTCATTTAATCTCAATGACATAAATATTTAAAAAACTGAAAGAGAATATTTTGAGTTTAGATAAACTTTTAATTAATTACCATCTTCTCTCTACTAAAACAAGATTAATGTAGTGCTTAAGGCACCAGGTTAGAAAACAGGAGACAGTTCAAGTCCTGCTTTAGTCAGGAAAACTGGGTGATTTGGGCCAATCAGTCTCAGCCTAACATACCTCACACCATTGCTGTCATGGGGAAAATAGAAGGAGGAAGGTGTGTTGGATATGTTTGCTACCTTGCAATTTGTAAAAATTATAAAGGCAGCAAATACATGAATAAATGCACACACACATCTCTTCAATTGTTAAAAGTAAAAGAACATATACCAGTAATTGTAAGCATATACCTTCATAACAAATACTCTTTCTTCAATACTGTTTACCTCCCAATATATAAACAATGATAGCCTACAAATAATTGTTTCTTTAATAATATTACCAAGACAAAAATACATAACATCAGATTATTTTAGAAAAATCTAACTGGGTCCAAGAAGCTTGAAATGTATTCTTTTTGAACTTGTTGCCATATAAAAATATCCATCGGGTATGGATATTTTGCTTTTCCATAGTACCTCTGAACACCTTATAGATGCAATTATGCCCCATGATCTATTTTTTTTTTCATCCAAAGCATTTAAACTTAAGCATAGGTGAATAATGTATAGGTATAGCAGCAATATAGTTATTATTATGTCCTCTGACTTAGCAATAGAAATAGAGAATATAAGGTTTACCAATCTGTCATGATATCTTAGATTGTTCAATAGCCAAAGAGACTGAATTTCAGATAAAGAACCATTTATCTACCATTTTCTGAAAGTGTTTTGTAAAAGCTTGGCATACATACCCACAGATGTAGGCATTTCCCCCCACTGCAGAACCACATCTTTGGTGATCCTTCCATATGTGTTGACATATACTCCTTCATCCTCATAGCAAACAAGCAGTTCCATTCCATCAGTGTTAGGAAGAATAATGATCGCATGGGGCTGGATACTACACTGAATCTGCAAATACATGTATTTTTCAACTCCCATTCGGCAACAAGGCATTCCTCATTTTCTCTGAATTGAACCATACATTTCCTAGGCCAGTGATGGTGAACTTTTTTGGCACCAAGTGCTGAAAAGGTCGTGTGGAAATGTCGCCTGCACGCTTGCCAGGACCACACTCCAAAAAAGCCAAACTTTCATGTTCTAGTGCATATGCGTGCCTGACAATCAGCTGGCCGGCGCGCATGCACAGGCTGGTTTTTGGCACTGCTGTGCGTGTGATAGAACCGTGCTCCAGAAAAGGCAAACTTCTGGGTTCTGGCACGTATGCGCACCTGACAATTAGCTGGCCAGCACTCATGTGCATGCTAGTTTTTGGCACTGCCGTGCACGCAAAGGACAGCTGATAGTTGTGTGCACCCGGAAGACAAACAGGCAAGACTGCATGTGCTAAGCGACATGGCTTCGTATGCCACTTTGGGCACGAGTGCCATAGGTTCGCCATCACGGTCCTAGACTGAGAAATAATCCATGGAATCGTAAACATTCTCAGATATAATGGATTTGTGTCCCACAGTTCTTCTATTATTTATTGCTTTCCAAAGCACAAATCTCATCTTCTCCAGTATTTATGGAAATCCTCAATCATCCAACTCACATTTGTCCCAAAGGTGCTTTTCCAAAGGTAACAGGACTTTCTTGATTTTTTTTTCTTTGAAAACATTTCAGAACTAGAGCAGCATCTCGGATTAGAAGTGAAATATTAAAAAAGAAAGTCCAGTTGTCTTTTGGAAAAGCACCTTTTGGCTCATCTATAGATATACATATTTGGATATAAATTATTAATTATATGCCATCCATTCAGCCTTTAGTATTTAGTATGATGTGTTTTGCCCATTATCAAAAATATGGGTTAATTAACATGGTTACAATGCTACATACTTACATGTGTTGGAAGATAAATATCATACACTGATCCTGAGTCCACGTCAACTGCATGAAAACCAGCAGAGGAGCCATAGATCACCTTCAATCTCTGGCCTTCTTCTACAGTAAGATCCACTAATAATGGCTTATGTACCAAGTCTCCAAATGACTGTTAAGTAATAAAATATATACATATATACTGAAGAGATTATTTCGAAAACAATTATGGAAAATATTTCATCTGGAATGGACTAAGCAGTATTCATTGATTCCATCATTATTGTTCACTTGTATATGGCAATAAACTTGAAACATAAGAATGAGCCATGCATGTGTATAATATTTTTAGATCAGATAAATCCTATGCGTTTTACAATCTTTTACAAAAGTTTGATCGCTACTGCTTCATTTCCTTTATAAAAGCCACTGATTGAACTTTTACATAAATGAAGAAGAAAAATACAAATTAAAAGTAAAAGGAAAGGTATTATATTTTAAAAGTGTTATTATGAAAATTCACCCTTAGGTCCCTTTTCATAGGGGGGAAAAAACTAGTAACTTGCATGCAGTCTTGAAGTTCTGAAAAAATGACTAGACTTAAGGGTGAATTTTCATAATAACACTCCTTTTGATTTCCTCATCTTTCTTAATAATATTCCATTTCTCCACCTTGAATATTCTTAAATAGATCAATGAACAAAGTCTTATATAATTTTTCCTATGTAGTGCTGGTTCATCTTGCATGACCATTAATCTAAAACTTGGTAGTACATGGAAAGCCGTGTTTAATAAAAACTTACAAACTGAAAGGAAAATAAGAGTAATGAGGAAAATTGCAACATTTCTGACTGGAGAATTGGCAACAAGTCTCATGACTAAGGGACACCAGTAAAACATGTGTATATTATCCCTCATACACAGACCACGTTTCTACTAAAGCAATTATCCTCATAGAAAAAAGAAGAAAGCAAGAAAAGATGTCAAGTCATGTTCCTGGTTTCCTTACAAGATTAATGTCTTTCTTGAAGAATCAGGTTTTTTACTTATTATCCATAGACCTAAAGCACATTAACTCAAGAGTTCCACAAGAGTGTGGTAGATATAAGCTATATTTCAATTCTAGAGTAGCAATATTCCCTAATACTGCTGGGTGAATTTAGATTTGTTATTGCCTATGGATAATGGGCACTATTTAAAGCACCATATATCAAAGTTAAAAATTGTTGACAGTTAAGTTCACCCTGAAATTCTTCAATGACATATTTAAAGGGAAAGTGGCACTCTTACCTTAAATGCCATAAATTTGTGGTATGGTTTTGGTGCCCAGGCATAGACCTCCACAGAACTCTTCAAAGCAATTACTAAGAATTTGATTCTTTCATATTTTACTAAAATTAAAAAGGACCAAAACATTTTGTAAAATTATTTAAGTAAAATTTTTATACAGCTGATAAGGCATCACATTTCAATATTTATTGTAGAAAATATAAATATACACATCAGTTTATAGTCTAATTCATAAAGATATGAACGGTTGCTCTAAAATTATTTTGAAGTACATAATAATTAACATTACATGTATGTAATATTGATACATTAATGTTAAATATAGATTCTAGTTCAGACATATTCTTAAAATATTCAATGACTCTTAACAGTTTTTTTACCATATAAATGTGAGAGGGAGAGAGAAAAACGTATTATCAGTACTTATAAATACTAAGAAATGATTAGAAATGTTGGTAGATAAAGAAAGAAAGCCAGTCCACAGAAAATGACTATTACGGATTTAGCTTTAAGATAAAACTAATACCACACCCAAAATTATATGACATCTCTTCTTTGCAATAAAGTCAGCAGCAGTCAATGACTTCCTGGTGTTTCATTTATATATTTTCCAACAGGATAAGAGGGTCAGACTATCTTCTTAATACTTCCTAATATATATGATTGTACTGATACACAATCTCTGCCGTGTTCAGAATTGGTAAAACAATGTACAGGGCAGGAAATTACTTCTCTCTATTCTTTGATCTTAGAACATTTTAGGAAATGAGATGATGCCAAGGAAGTGGAAAATATGAGCTTCATGCTCAATTCACAGTTGTTTGTACTAAAGTGTTTGTGTGCATGTGAATGTATATGTATGTTATGTATGTGTGTATATGTATGTATGTATGTATGTATGTATGTATATATGTGTGTGTGTGTATGTATGTATGAATGTATATGTATATAAAGTCATCCTTAAGAGCATTTATTTTGAAAATGTGAAATATACAGGCTGTATTTTTATGCCATATCATTTACTTATAAAAATCAAAACTTTTCTTTTGTTAGGAAGTTACTTATAACTAGAATTGCTTTCAAATTAAGATAATGAATTACCTACCAACTTTGTAGTGCACACAGCCTTCTAAATCACCTACAGTTGTCCATCCTTGTTTTTTTTCTACTTCAGGATCATTGTGAAGGATCTTGTTTCTTAACCATGAGAGGTAATAAACTCTCAATTTATTTTTCTTACCTAGGCAAAAAGTATTTTCTTAAGAACAGGGCAAGGTTTGCACTATTACACTATGTAGAATAATTCAATAATTACTAGAACGTTATGGAAGCAACTGTATATGATTCTCTATCCCACGTAATTTTATCTGCCATAGAGGTTCTTATTCAGAACTTTAACTTTTTTTTAAAAAAATGCTTAAATAGCCATAGTACTCCTACTCCAAATACAAGATATATGAAGGCAAACTTCCTAAATTGTATTTTAAAGAAAATATCCCCTATCCCTAGGAACCAGTAAACTGTTTCGAAGAAACCATCATCTGCTAGAGATGACTCTCACTTGAGTAATGGAGTAATATAGTAATATAAGCACAGAGGTATCACAAAGTTCATAGAATAGTTGTATCTGATAAAAATATGAAATATTTTTCCTTATTTAAAAAAACCTTAAGAACACAAAAGAGCTACAAATCGATCACTGTACTTTTTATCCAATCACATGATCAGAAGGAGCTTAGTCAAGCTGTACAGAAAAATGGAATAGTAACTTCTAGAAGACTTTTCTATATAACAGCTGTTCTGTGGTTCTCACACTAAACCTTATATAGCCGCCACTGTCATCACTTAAGTGGCAGGGAAGATTTCTGACTGAATTATAGGCAAATGATGTATTCAGGAGAGAATATGAAGAACTGAAGCAAACTTTCAAAAAGTGTGACAAATATGAAAGTGCCTAAATTGTATCTGATACTAAATTATGCACTGTAGTAAAAATAAAAATAAATTAGCAAGTAGCTACAAAACAATTTGTTCAAATCGAATGAACTGACTGTATTACAACAAACATTATTACGAAATTATTACAAAATGCAATTCAATGTGCATAAATGCAAAGTGATTCACTTTGGAACAAAAAAACAACACCAAATAAAACTAAAAAACAAAAAACAAAACCAAAGCTTGTTCAGCTGGTTGAAACCAGGAAAAGAATCAACAATAGAAAATGTCAACCAGGCATGACTAAAAATAATTAAGAAAGAGTGAAAATAAACTTGCCAAATACATTAATGCCTATACAATCCCAAATGGTTGAACTACACTTGAATTATATGTACAGCTCTAGTTACCTGATTTTTGCTTGAAAATGTGCAGAATTTAGCAATCATCAAAGCTGCTTCTCTGTATCTGAATGACTTATTAATTATATTGTGTCAATTTATTCAAGATAGAGCTTGAATCAAAGCGCCATGTCTTAAATGCAAATTTTGAAAGAGCATCTAGTTGGACTCTATAGCTGTGATTTGATCCGCCCTTCACCTAATCCAACAGAGTTAAATTCTTAGCAGCTAAATTTCATCCTCAATCAATTTGTCTGATACTTTTCAGTCAGCTAAGTTGGTGATTTCATGAATTTTGAGAAGGAATGCTACTCTTTTTTTTAATTTTAAAATCCCTGACATTTAGTTTGCCTAGGTGTTCTGATTTTTCTATTAAAAGAATAACTACTCTAACCACATAATATATGTTACCCATGTATAATAGATGGATAACTCTAGCCTTTCTTTCATTTTTTTCTAAATTAAACAGTTCAAAGGTTACATTCCCCTCATAAGACAATTGTTCAAATCCAGTTATCATTTTAGTTGCCCCTACCATATTTCTAGACTTTAGAAAGTATACCTTTAATTAAAATACTGCAACATATTCCCAAACCACATTTCCAAGTTTCAATATATTTATGCAAACTCATATACTGTATTTATGATTTCAAGAATGCATTTATTCATTGAAGGTGGGTGGGAGGGGTTGAGATGTTTTTGAGCTAGATTATTCAATATTTTCAATTTCATAAAACCATTCTTAAAAATTGATAAATGAAACCCAAATTGAAGTTTCACTAAATTAAACCAGCATTTCATCGTAATAAAACTTCTTTAACAAAACTTCCTAATTTTAATATGAAGAAATCAGGTTACAGAATGCTTCTATGTAGAAGTAGCAGCTATTTTATTAGACCCAAATTCTGATTATCCTTCAGGAGTTCAAAGTAGCTCACATCCTTCTCCACTTTCCTCCCACAATAACAACCCTGCAGACTAGGTTGGTCAAAGAATGTACAACTGGTCATTCATACTATTCCTGGTCATAGGAATAGTATGAATGAAAGGTAGCATGCAAGTTTATATTACAGATTTTCATCAGACCAATCCTGGTTGGATGGCATTTATTTTATTACATCATTTCAGTTTAAATGATGCCAGTATTATAAATCAAATAAGTTACCAATGATTCAGATAGTATAAACAAAAGTTGCCTTTACCATGTTTCTTTGAGTTTTGGCATAGGTTTGGAATATGATATATCACAAAACAGATATAAGCCAGAAAACTTGTCCTCACATTAACAAGGCAGAGTTGGACTTTATAATCCAGTAGCAATTTTTAAAGCTGTGATTTACAATCATAAAGCAACATAGTTTTAGTCAAGACATAATGTAAGAAGTAAAACATTGGCTTCTAATATTATGTGTTCTTCATGCAGGAAGCAGGCACTTGTAAGTATAAAATACAGGCACAGTGCATTAGTAATGCTGCGATTAAGGTTATCAAAAAAGAACTTTTGTCTACCTGATATTGTCACCAACACATTCAAACCTTCAAGTACATCCATTTGCTGAAATCTCCTTCTGTTTATTAGTGGATAAACTTTCCCTTGACCACTTCGATCTAATAACATCAGGCCACTTTCTGTCCCCACTAATAAATTAACTCCTAGAATAAACAAGATTAAGACAAACACAAGTTAAATGGATTTTGGATTTTCTATTGTGGAATATTTAAATATCCAACAAATGTTATCATGGTATAAAACCTTTAAAGCTCCAGAAATGGCTTTGAAATACTTCATAGCCCTGTGTCAGGAATGTTCATACTCAGCTTCAATTTTCAGTTCTCAGTAGGAAATATTTATGAACAATTCTATTGATTACTATTAGACTCAAAGCCTGCCATTAAAAGTTATTAATAGAATAGAATTCTTTATTGGCCAATTGTGATTGGAAACACAAGGAATTTGTCTTTGGCATATACAATATCTAAACTTGACAAACAAGACTTATTATTAAGACACTTAATTTCCATGTTCATAAGTAGGATTAGATCCAGATCTAATTAATAAGTCAGTTACAAAACCAGCACAACTTCTATATTCTTAATAGATTCTTGATTTTATCAATAAGCCTACAACTTTCAAATATAGGAATGATGTAGCAATCAACATTAGATTCTATACCCCATAAGGCAGCACATAAGATTTCAGAATTGAATCTCTTCTTGTATTTGCGGATCTCTGGGGTGTCACTCTGTGGCCGTGTATTTGTAGGATTGACATTAACAACTGATCCTTTTCTGGTTGGATCCTGTCTTATTGCTTCTGATCTCATTGCTTCACTAGAAAATCCTACTGCAGAGAGGAATAGAAGAGAGAAAAATAGAAAAATATTTAGTAATCTTAATATGCAGATGTTACACCTACACGAACACATTATGTTAAAGATCTCAATGATTTCAAAATAATTGTGCTTGCTGTTTGCCTTTACAAAAATATAAATGAAAACATTAAAATAAAGGGCCATTATAAATGTATATATATATTTAAAAATATTTTTATACTATTGATTTGTTTCTACTTGTTTAACTTACCAACAGAAGTTACAGTTGTTCCACTAGATGGAGATATCTGTAGTAATCTGGGGTCTATAAAAGGTGTGAAGGAGGATGAAGATTTGTGTTTCTGCAGTGTGTTACTAGCGGACTGAGTCTGCAATGTAAATGTCAAATAATCATCTTAATAAAACAACTTTGTTCTTAACCAACAAAGACATTTCATCTAGCTGTAACTATGCAGCCTTATTTTCAGAAGCTTTCTTATCCCCTTTCCCCAAATGCTACCTATGTAGAGGCAACCTGAGTATTTCTTTAAAATAAGTAAAATTTAAAGTGCTTATCACTGCTATTATAGGTTTTGTCCACCAAGCAGCCTTTGCTTCAGCCTTTACAAAATGTATTCTAAATGTATTAAGCTTTACACTAAAAACTTAGAAGAATCTCCTCCAGTTGAAATAGGAGGCCCTGTTTTCTAAACCTTGTTCTTTATTGTGCAAATTGTTCTTTTTTATTTCATTGTATTACTTCCTACATTGTATTTCTGCCCTGCATCTTTTATACTGTCAGTCACCAATTGGGAAATATCTTCTCCATATGCAACAAAGTATGAGCAATTAAAAATCAAGCTATCAGCTTTATAATTTTAGCTTGCAATGATTTTTAGGATTATTTTATTTTTAAATTTTGAAAATTGGTTTCTTGCCAGAAAGCTGCAGCATGTTCTTCCACCATCATTTTCACAGAAAAATATTAAGACAGTATTAAACAAGTGGAGTTATTAGGAGGGGAGAGGTGTGAATGATGATATGAAGGCACAGGTGCATCTTGTTATACCACTAAACATGAAAAACATAAACAAGGAAGGAAAATGAAATAATGAAACTGTTAGAAATGGCTTTTAAAACTTGTCATATATGTGAGTTAAATCTCAGGCTGTGCATCTTAAAATAGAAATGACAGGAGTGAAAAATTAAGTATTGCCCTATAAAGTTGATCTAGAAAAAAGTAGTAATTTACATTTAAATTGTTTCCTGCCTTTTCCACTCTGCTGTTCAGTCTTCTTTCCAAGTAAATTTCTATCATTGGACATCTTTCACTATGGCCTCTAACAAAAAATGTTTTTTTTCATTTGTATATTATTTTGCTTTCATAAAACATTTTCTCCAGAAACAAAGTACATACAGGTGAAACTCAAAAAATTAGAAATTAGAAAATTAGAATATCGTGCAAAAGTTCATTTATTTCAGTAATGCAACTTAAAAGGTGAAACTAATATGAGATAAGACTCATTACATGCAAAGCAAG